TAGAATCATATTAATTAAATGAATGAAAATTTACAGATTCAATCATCGCCAAGGATTACCACAATATTCTCAACATTGTCAATTATATCAGGCTGATCAGTTACAACATGGTGAAAGTTTTTTTGAAGCCGATGATCGATATTCATTTTATTGGGAATATTGTGTTCAATGTAAGCTTTTTTCTTAAAAAAAAATTCAGAATTAAAAACATTTAATTTTTTTTTATTGAATAGTTTTATTGCATCGCAGTAATTATCAATTCATTTTATTGTTATTTCTTATTTTTATAGTTTAATTACTAACATTGTCAATTATTGAATTAAGAATAACCATTTTTTTTTATTTTATCCAAATATTTTAAAACATTTACCAATTCTTTTCATTTTAATTTTTTTCTTTCCTTAAATTTTTGTTCAAAATATTTTACTATTTGTTTCATGCAATTATCTAACTTTCTATTTGATAACAAATCTCTTTTGATCAGAATATTCCGTTTCATTTGATCTATTTTTAATTTAAACATTTTTTTTTTCCTAAAAACCACATTTAATCATAAATGAAATAAATCAATTTGAATGAATAAATAGCTATTTGCGGTGAAGGAATAAATGTAACAAGATATTTCAAGGTTAAACAATCATTGTTACATTACAATAAATAGGTCATTCACCATTACAAAAAAAACTGTAATACGATCAATCTCAATAAAATATTCAAAAGGCATAGAATAATTAAAATTTTTAATTATTGTTTGGTTGATGACTTATTGAATACTTTTATGACCTTTCATTTTGAGTGGAAAAAAGAAAAAAAAAGACGGAAAACGGAGGAAAAGGAAAATATTTATGTCCTAAACAATGATGAGATGTCGAATTTTTATGTATTCCAATTTTTTTTCACATATTACTTATAGATGTTTTTCATGTTAAATAAAATTTATTTTTAATTAAGAAAAAATAATTTATTTAGCAAACAAAAGCTGTTCTGGCGATTATGCATTTACATATTTATCGGATCGTTACATGGATCTTCGTGAAGTTCGTGAAGTGATACGAACCAAAACTCTTGAAGATTGCTTATCTGCATGTTTGGATGCAGCAGGTTATGCATGTCGTAGTGTATCATACAATCGTACTGATGGTGATTGCTTCTTATCACAGCATAATCAACTTAGCAAGCCGGCATTAATCAAAATTAACAACAATCCCAATTATCGGATCGATTATTACGAAAATAGTTGCACAAATAGTTGGGTTTTTTTTTTTTTTTTTGTTCATTTAAACTGAATAATTTGAAATGATAGAAACTTGAGCCAAAAACAAAAAACACTAATATCTCTTTCAATTTCAATATTTAATTTTTTTTAATTGCAAAATACGATTAATTATAATTCATTTCCAATGTTAGCAAAACGATTTTATTAGCAATGAAAATAAATTGCGAAATTTTTTTTTTAAACTTTAATTTTAAATTGTTGTAAAAATATGAAAATAAAAGTTATAGTTTAGTTGCAGATTCATTCACATTTGATTACGAGTGCAAAGATGATGGAATACAGGTGAAGGTCATTTCGAAGTATCCATATACAGGTGCCATGTATGGCCTTTATGACTTTTTCACATGTCGCATTGAACCTAAAGAAGATACAAAATTTGAATATTTCTTTCCATCACCAACCATTTCCAAGAATTGCAGCGATAGCATACGTTATAAGGTAATTAAATTTTTTTAAAAACAATTTGTAAAATTTCGAATAATTGTTGAAAATGAAATTTGCTTAGTTAAATAAATAAAAAGATTGATATGATGGAAAAGAATTAAAGGAAAAAAAAAGAATATTGCTATTATTTATTGATGTAAAATCGGAACATAAATCAAACTGTAATAATAGGAATTTCATATCTGATATCGATGTCTACTAGTTATTCAATTATATCCAGTTATTTAGTTATTTGAAATTATTCATGAAGTTTTTATTTAGCAATCAAAAATTTACATTATTGTAATTTTAGGGAAGAGATATGGTATTGGAAATAGTTATATCAACGGATGGTGTTGAGCCGTTATATTTTATAACACCTGATGATCTTACCTATCAGGCTCGCTGTCCATTAAATGAAGCAAAACGCTTAGTCCAAA